ATGATACTTGGCATTTTTCCTGAATACTGTACTTCTTACAAGGAAGTAAAAAGTGTATCACTTAATATGTCACTATGTTTCACACGTCTTTATTTTTTCCCAAAGTTTCTAAAATTAACTGTAATGCACAAAAAGCCCAGTACTTTCTAATGATCAGCACCCCCAAAATCCAAAAAAATACTGATGAGGTTCCACACCATGTCACCTAATACTTGCATGGAAATCCACGATGTCATTAAAATATATTTATGTGGCAAAACTGGTAAATGCATGATGCAGTTGTGTTTGAGTACATATAGATTTGCACTTTTGAAATTCAATGGTCATTATTCTGATTAGTATATCTCCTGTAGGTACATGCATTTTTGTCATAAAGAATTGCAATACGCTGCAGAGTTTACCAACTGAAAGAAACATTGCATTTCTTCAGAAATATGACATCTTACTCAACAGTAAGGAAAGCAAAAATTTGCATTCTGTGAAGTTGAAATTCTTAAACAAAATGAATTGATGGAAATGGAGAGTCAAAGTGTTAGAACATGAGTCGGAAACTGGTTTGAAGATAGCAATACCTTGTTCACTGTTTGCTTATTGTTGGACAAAATAATGGGAACACCTGTGGAAAAATATGACATATTTCACACCTGTATTACACTCGCGCCACCTGCAACAGAAGTCTGCCACCTAGTGTGCATGAAGAGGTAGGTATCAGTCTCTGAACAGCAGTCAATTGTGTTGCATGTTTCGATTGAACTGTCTGTGAGAAGTTGAAATGTCAGACTTGTCAGAGTTCCAAAGAGGGATGATAGTTGGAGTGCATTTAAGTGGAGCATAGGTTACGGAAACAGCAAAACTTGTGGTCTGTGCGAGGAGTAGGGTATCAGCTGTTATGACAGAATACACGAAAGAGGGTAAGATGACATCTTCAAAGCACAACAGCGGTCGAAAGTCAAAGCTGGCTGGCTGATAGGGATAGATGGGTCTTGAAGTGCATAGTAGCCCGGAAGCACAAGCAATCATTATCCGAAATGAACAGTCATATCCAGCACCCGTTTCCCGTTTCAACAAAAACTGGTAAATAGGAACTTTATGCTGTGAATATTTATGGCAGAGTGGCAGTTCGTAAACCCTTGGTGACAGCAACTAATGCTTTTAAGCGACGCCAATGGTGCAGAGATCACAAAGGCTGGCCCCCTACAGCAGTGGCGACAGGTAATATGGTCAGATGAATTCACCCTATTTCAGACGACCGGATGTGTTTATGTCTGGAGAACGCCCAAAGAAGTGTTTCATCTTAACTGCCTCTTGCCGACTGTTAAGCATGGGGGTGGCGCCATTATGCTATGGGGGGCAATATCTTGGCGTGGTCTTGGGCTACTTGTTATTCTGAATGGGAGGATCACATGCAATCATTATCTAAGCATTCTAGTGGATCATGTCCATCCTTTTGCCCAGACTGTATCCCCTGGAGAGTGACCCCTTTTTCAAGACAACAACGCCCCTATCCACACTGCTAGGTGTATTCAAGAATGGTTCGAAGAGCATGACGATGCAATTGAACATCTCACTTGGCCCCTCAGTCTCCGGAGTTGAATATTATTGAACATTTATGGGCATATTTGGAGTCCAAACTTCGTTCGCGATTTCCACTTCCATCCGGACTTGCGGAATTAGAGACCGCTCTGCAGGAGGAATGGCTTAATACAGGGTTGCCACTCAAACAAGAGAATGAAATTCCCTGACTTTTCCAGGTTTTCCAGGTGTGTTTCAAGAAAATTCCAGTCTGTCCGCGTAATGTACTTTGGCTACGCTAAGAGGTAAATTAATTATGGTATTACTTGTATTGTGTAGCAAATTCACTTAATTATTCAATAAATCCCAGAGGACATTTATTCTTAATTATTCTTGGTATACTTTGTTGATAATTTTGTTTACTTTTCCACTTAAAGAAACTTAATAAAATTTAAGATATATAAATTGGATAACAAATGTATGTTTTATTTAATTATTACTCATGATCATCACCAGTTCAACACGAGGCTAATCCGGTCCTTATAAATCACAACGCAATGCTAAATAGTTAGGTTAGATTTTAGGTAAATTTAATTTGTGTGAGGTATGTTCTTAAAAAGCACCTTAACACTTAAATACAAATATAATTATAATAGTTGTTGTTTTCTCCATTGAAGATTGAGATTAGAATCTTCCCAATCTGGAATAAAATAAGGCTATTTTTGCAGACATTCTGCAGCTAAACGAAAGAAAGAAATCTATTTTAATAAATTGAGGTATTTTATATTTATTTCGCAGCATACATAAGGAAAAAATATGTGCATTAAATTTCGTGATGGTATGTCATCATACTGCTAGAATTAATTTCAAGATTATGCCAGAGAAAATTTCCTGAAATTTGGAAATATTATTTACTAATAATAAATAAATTTAGAGGGAAGAAGCATCATTAAATTATACGAATAACATAAAAATAAAGATAATTACTTAAAAATTGAATTAGAATAATCAACGATATTTTAGCGAATATAGTTATATTACATGGTTAGCCTAGATGACAGATTACTATTTTTTTATTTTACTGCAAAATGGCAAGGTATTTATTAAAAAGAAGAAAAAAAAAAAGTTTAAAAAGATTTTGCGGTAAAATTCTAGTATATGGTAAGGCTTTGGCACGATTTTGAAAATTGTCGCCAAGACCAAAATGACCCGTTTACTGTGCATCATCATGTCGCCAAATCCCATTGTACCATACATGGAGATTAGAATAGAATATATGGAGGTTATTCTAACCAAAGAACGTCTATGCAAAGAATCTCTAATTCTTTGGTCTATGTAAAGAAGAAAAGGTTCCATACAAGTAAAATGCTATTACGCCGCTAGAATGCGGAGGGAAAATATGCCAAGGGATTTGGCGACGGAACCTGGTGGCCAGAATTTCCCTCTCCACGATGTGTACCGGAAATTGAGAAACAAGTTAAGAAGAAACGTTTTTTGACAAAAAGAAAGCTACGAAAATCCGTTTTTAAATTATTGCGAAAAATCCAAGAAGAAAGGTTTTATCAAAGGACGTTTCTTCTTAGATTTTTCGCAATAATTTTAAAAATGGATTTTCGTAGTTTCCCCCCCCCCGAAAATTACTAACCCATGAATTAATTTACTTGCGCCAAAAAATATTTTCTTTTCCTTTAGAGTTTAACCACTTGTGCTAAGTCTAAATGTCACGGTTGCGGTGGCGTGCGCTACAATATAGCAAGCGGTAAAGTGTCTCATTTACGCCGCTCCGCATCTGCGAGTGCAATCCAGAGCTGTAACTCGAGAAATAAACAATCTTGTTGTTAGGGGACGTGTACACCATGTTATTTTCATTTTTGCGATAAATGCTTATCGACGTGGTGTTCACGTCGCTCGCAGTTTGAGATAAAAACATCTCGACGTGCATGGCACGTCTTTTTAGCGCAAGTGGTTAAAGAAATTTTAAAGGATATTCATTTAATGAACTCTTGATAACGTGACCTTCGAACTTCGACACCGGTTTCGAGCTTTGGCAGCAGATATATTACGCATGCACAGCTGTTTCCCTCTATGATGGAACGGAGCCACGTCTGTTGCAGAAAGGTTTTTTTTTCCTTACAATACATATTCTTTGATTCTCACCTCCATGGTACCGTATACTAAGATTAAACCCATTTTGTTTTATACGAGAACAGGTACTTTCTTTAATTCATGCACTGCACATGCGATTCTCGAGAATACTGGAAACCAAAAGTTGCGGGAAACTTGCTTTGCCTTTCTAAAAGACAATCAAATTGGAGCTTTGAAAATTGGCTCTATGCCAGCTGCCCGAATGACACTCACGTGATACGCAATTCGCCAAAAAAGTTATCTCTTCCGACGTCGGCGCAAAAATCGCTTTTTTTGGTGGGATCATTGTATGAACTTCCCTGACTTTTCCAGATTTTGACAAAAATACTTAAATTCCCTGACTTTTCCCTGAATTTTTTGGTCAATTTTCGAATTCCCTGACTTTTCCCGGTTCTCCCGGTTTTCCAAGTAGCATGGCAACCCTGTTAATATTCCTTTAAATATTGTCCATGACCTTTATGAATCTATCCCACGTCACATTCAATCTGTACTTCAGTCAAAGGGTGGTCTAAACCCCTATTAATAAAGATTTTCCATTATTTCACAGGTGTTCATATTATTTGTCCTCCACCTGTATGTCATCAAATTTATTTGAAAAACTGGAATCCCAAACAAAACTATCAACATGTATAAAATCTCTGAGAAATATAAAAGCCTTCTATGGTAAAAAGAAAAATGTGAAAACAAATTGGTGGCATTACATGCATTATTGAAAAAGATATAAAGATATCCAAATAAACATTTTCATAATGTTGTAAATGAGTTCGCTAATGCTCTCCAAAGTTGGCAGCGAGACTTTTGGTGCAGGTGCAGAGAAAGTACGAAAAATGTTTCTGTTATTACAAGATTGTCGCACTTCATTCATACAAGTGATAGATGTGTGTGTCAGGTGATCAGCAAGAAGCTCATATCACAAGTTATGTTTTACATCGCAACTTCTCTCTCACCTCGGAGTCTCTTTTAGCGGGTACTGTTGTGAAGAGAAAGACTGCTACCGGTACGAATTTTGTTTCTGTGTGTGAAATAAAATATATAAAATATATCAAATGCTGTTCCATGCTGCTTCATTCATGTCCAGGAGCCAAATCAACCAATATCACCTTGAAGATTAATTAACAGTAGTACTGATGTGCATGTAGAAATATCCATGTATTAGAATGTTTTATTATTATTATAACTGATTAAATTGTTGAGTATTATTATCCTAAAATCATTTAATATAAATTTGTGAAAGTAAATACAGATTTTATTACTAACAATCAACAATAAATCTAAAGTAAAAATAAAAGTAATTTCCATTCAAACAAAGATTTTCAACAATATAATGTTTTACATAATTTTACCTGACATTTTGGATGACATAATTCAATAGACCAGTTCGTAGCTGCTCTAATTCTGTTTTTTCTACAAGATGCCATTCTCGAATTACAGCTTGTTTAAGAAGTGATGCAGCTTGAAATTGAACATAATCAGATTTACTGTGTGCTGAAAAAAATATTTTGTAAATTTAAGGAACAAGCACAAACATATTTGTTTACTACAATACTGTGCATTCAAATATTTACTTACATCACAAAGAAATTATATTCTTTAATTACAGAAAAGTACTCAAGAGTTTTACATCTATGAAATGTCTTTGTAAAGAACTGAACTACACATATAAAAAATAAGTTCTGTTTAGCTATTCAGCTACTGATGAGCTCTATTTATCTACAGTTTTTGCTGACAGTCAATCTGAAGACACAGTTAACAGCTGAATATGTCAATGAAATTTTAAAAACTCGATAACATGTTAATTCATTAAATGCCAATCCTTATTTCCAACTAACATCACTATAATAATTGGGGGGAAAAATTTAACTAATACATTAAGGTTATTTTAAAAAACACAAACTGGAATCAGAAGAAATTAATTATTTAAAAATATTTGAACTGTATTAGAACCCATTTTCAGATTGCCAATTTATGATAGAATGAGTAGACTGGTATAAAAATTCTTTCTAGCAGCATATTAAATAAATATGTCAAGACTATATATTCTAGTATTTTCCTTCTTTTATATATAACAAAAGTGAGAATAAGGGTAGTTTGCTATAATAAAGTTCAGAAATCATACCCACCTAATCAATAAAAAAATTCAAATCCAAAACAAAAAAAAAAAAAAAAAAAAAAAAAAAAAAAGAAGTATTTTAATTAAGTTACATACAATGGCACTTCATATGAAATATCTGATCAGCTGAATACAACTTCTTACACTTCAAAACCTTTTTTAATTTTGGGTTTTCTACTTTAACTAAACTACACATTTAGCAGTAATGTCTATATTCTCCATTTACTGGATCTCAAAATAAAACTATAAATTAATAGTATTAAATGTGTAGAGTCTATTAGGTTTTATATTGAAGCAAGAAACATAAAAAATGAGCAATGCTCTCACAGGAACTCGAACTTCAGACCTTTTGATGCTGGATGGGCGCTCTTTCCAACTATGTCACAAAGGCATGCAGTAAAGAAGGAGAAAATACCTTATAAATGAAAAATCTTATCATATCAAAAGTTAAAAAAAAAAAAAAAAAAAAAAAAAAAAAAGAATGTTATAAGTTTTAGAGACCTAAATGTCATTTTACTAAAACGGCTTATTTAATGCACACAGCAAGTTTATGTACATGTGCTTCACCATCTACATCATTTCTGACGACAAGACAAACAGTACTGAATAAAATTATTATTCATTTCTAGAAGCCAAACGTGGATTTCATAACTATTCACTTCTATAATCCATATCAAACAGAAACATCAGGGTTTAAAAATGCTTTATGGAGGATCCTCTTAAGGTTTGAAATGTTTTGGCATAACTAAGAAACCAAATCTACCTAATTATTTTTATGAATAATTGATTATAAATTTGAAAAAGAATAATTTTATTTAGATTTAACAAACAAGAAATGATCAAATAATTTGTGTACAAATTTCTCACTATACCAGGTAAAGAATTAATGATTGTAATTTTTTAAAACTCCACTGTATTTATGATACTAATGAAATCCAAATAATTTTATTTATTTAAACATCATTTTTAAAATGGTTAACTGATTTCAATAGTACAGTACAAAGTCCGTGATCCGGACTCGTCGGGACTTCGGAGATTCCGGATTAGGGGTTTTTCCCGATTATAGATTATCAATTTAAATCTGGCAAGATGGCATGCAGAAATTATACAGTTAAAAATATGAAACCATAATTTGTGAAATAAAGAGCAATTATGATCTAAAGGGTATTAAATTTTACAAAAAAAAAGCTTAATATTTATTTGTTTCCTTTATTAAACATTTCTTTCAATGCACGCATGAGTAAAGCATACATTATGTATGTATGATGCGTAATGTATGCGCATTCTTTATGCGCATGTGTAAAGCATACATTATACCGCGTAATGTATGTGCATTCTTTATGCGCATGCGTAAAGTTTGTGGCTTTAAGGTTCAAATTATAGATTATTCTGGATTACGGACTTTGTACTGTATTCACATACTAGTGCAACCACCTTGCATAATTTGGTTCCCCCACCCAGAAAAAAATTAAGACATAAGCCATCATTCAACTGGTAAAAGTTACTTGAGTGCAAGATGGTGATTTTGGCAACTTTTTTTAAAAAGGATTGCCACATATCAATATTTATCATACACCTTAAAACATTATCAACATTTTAAAAGGAAACACAGTAATTCAAAATGCAAATTTTAGTTATTAAATAAGGTTCTGCTGTGTATATGGATTCTTCCCATGTACACAGTGATCTCGTTTCACTTTAAAAAAATAATAAAACCCCACAAACTCAACATTCAGCACAACTTTAGCACATAGCACAATGCACCAGCAAGATCACAATTACCTAATAAGCGTAAAAATGCATACAAAAATGGTGTCAGACTTACCAATTTCAATAATGTTCCTTTTATATACACAAAATAATTTCCTTTTGTGCATATATTTTACATTACAAGGAAAATTACGTGAGGAGAAGAAATATGCAAGCAAATATGATATAAATGATACAGTACAAAATCCATGATCCAGATGTCCAATAACAGGAATGATCTAAAATCTGGACCTGAAAACCACAAACTTTTTTTGTATGCTTTACCCATGTGCATTTGATGTTTCCTTCCATAATAAAACATGTGGAGAGTCCCGATTCTTAATTTCACTTAGGCACTAAATAAAATACCTCATTACTGAAGTAACAATCATTTCAGCATAAATTTGTGATCAATAATTTGGCTCCGTAGGTGCATATCTGCTTGGCATACATCTCAAACTGAAACATTCTACATAGGAACATCATTGATTTTAAACCTACTAGTATTTTATATCCCTGATGCCGACCTGATGAATCATTATTTATTATATTTTACTTTCATCACCGCATGTTTATCAATGCATAACAACTTGAGTAATGACTCATGCAGTGATGTCTTAACTTTTTTTTATATTAGTAATTGAACAACAAGAGTATGGCAACCTTTTATGCTGACATTATGCTTGGAGATGATTCCAATTAAATGCGCTAAGAAATGTTGACAAGAAAAAATTTAACAAAAATTTCTTTCCATATGCTAAAAATAAATTTTGTTAATGAAACTGATAGGCCAAAAGATTACATTTAGTGCTATTTGAATTAAGAATAACTGATATGTTATTCACATGAACACAGAACTGGCATTAGAGCTCGTATGGCCACACCGGGCACCAGAATTTAGAGAAGACAAAATTTTTGGAATTTGGAGAAGAACAGAGCGGCAAAATTAAAGGATGACAAAATTTTTATAATTTAGGGAAAGTACTGGGATCCAAAGTTTAGGGGCGGCAAACATTTACGACTTAGGGCGGAGCTCTGTAGCAGAATTTAGGACCCATAGTGACTGCATCAGGCGGTATCTAGTGCCAGCCCTACATAAGCCTTAAGTATATGTCGGAGTTTATTTATTCAGGACTTAGATTAGCCTTAAATTTGCACATGAAACAGATGCAAGTATAATGAATAAGTCATACAGTTCAGGCTTAATTCAGTATGCGATAGAAGTAATGCAAAATTTAGCGGAATAACTTGTCTTTTATCGCCAATCATATGATACATAGCAAACAATGTATAGCAGGTGCTATTAAGCTAGGCTAAAATTATCTTTACTGATTTCTAAAGCAGTTAATGTAGCTGACTGTGCTGCTCCTTAATCTTCTAATTTGATCTAGCGTTTTTTTCCCCTTTCTTTTTCCCCCCCAGTCTATTATTACACCAATTTTATTAAAATTAAAGCTTGAACTTTTGATAATGTCGAAAAGAGTTTCTAATTCTGGAGCTGCAAAAGAATCTACAAAGTGAAAGCATGTTTCAATGTCCATTAAAAAAAAAGTGGGATAGCTGCAAAAAATTGATAAAGGCATATCCGTCTCAAAATTATGGGAGGAGTACGGCATTGGAAAGACAACTGTAAGGGGTTATCAGATGCTCTTGATGGTATTAAAATCATTAAATGCAGCAAGAGAGACTGCATGATAATAAAGATAATGACTGCATCCACAACTTGGAAGTTATAGCCGATGACATAGACAGAAGTTCCCACAGCACTAAATGATTTAAGGCCTAAGCAGTAGTACTGTACAATAATAAGAGTGGGCAAGATTCAAGACACAGGGATGTAGAAATTAAAATATTTTACTAGATATTATAATGTTAAGTAACTATGGTATATTAAAATGATTCTGCCAATGAAATTTTTACAGATTATTATAATCATTGTTAGAATGTCCTTTCTTAGCTTTACTGAATTTGAATAAATTTTATTCAGAGGTAAATAATCTTAAATGATAAGCTGTATACTTTCAGTACCATGTTTAATAAGTTTTGCATGAAAATGTTACGTAAGGCAATAGAAAGATCCAATATACCCATGTGCTGTTAGACAGTATCAATGTGAAGTGTGTTTAAGAAGCTCTGAGGTAGAACCTTTAATCTTGAAAAAGAATTTAAAGTTAGGACTCAAAAGAGGTGGAAAGTAATGAAATGAAAACATTATATATTGTATACTCTGTATTATTTGTTTACTGGTGATATGAATCAAATACTCATATCACCAATAAATAAATAACAAAGGCTCCACTGTATACAGTAAACAGCAAGATATCACTTGAAATGAACAGGAATGTTTTTTATTACACAGTTGGTGGCATTTTCATCTACTGAAAATCATCAACAAGAAGTATAAATTTGTATTTCTCCATTCACAAGAAATCAGAGAAGCACTATAGTTGAAAAATGATTCTTTATGCTAATGCTACTCAACAAGGATGGAGGACAAAACAGAAATCATATTTCAAAGAAAAAGAAGGACTGAATTAAAAGAAAAGAATTGTACTGTTAGAATGGTTAGAAAATAGCCAAATCATTAATAATATGTCAAGCAGTTGTGACACAGAATCATAGTGTT